GTTATATCATTTTTAATTTTTGATACACTTTTATATTAATATGAATGTTCTGACTTCACTTTGTGTAATTCCAATATGTTTCTTGACAACATAGTGTATGTTGTATGGTATTCAAAATAAAATGAGAAGCCCCAACATGGAAATTTCTCTAAGAGTTTCTCGTAATTCCTTGTTGTAAGTTGGAATTATTCATTTCTTGATGGGTTGAGAGTTTTCATCTGTCAGCTTTTCTGTATAAAGCAGACAACTCTTGTTATCATATGTAAGGTCTTGACATCTCTGACATAAATTCCTTCTTTTTGTAGAGTGTTATTATTATAGTTCAACACAAAGATGCTGGACTGAAGATAAACACCATCATTGAAGTCTTTGGGAGTATCTGGTATTTTCAGTAACTGAACCATTATAGAAAAAGCAACCAAAGTCAGTAGAGCAAAACAAATCAGTAAATATAGTAAACCAAAAGAAATGCATGACAGATGGTGTGGAGAAAACTGAGTCATAGTTATTATAACCATTCTCACAGAATTATCTAATCTTTGTATCATAGATATTTTGTAAACAAAAGTGTTATGCATAAACAAAAAAGGAGTCATTATACTGTACCTCGTTATACTGATTTCATTATTCTGGCTACCCCTTTATAACGAATTTAATAGTAATAGTAAAACCTCGCTATACGTTATCTATCGCGAGGAACTTTTATTCACAAGGTGCTCGCTAAAGCGCCAGTTTAGGCTGTTTCGCTATACGTTATCGAAGTTTCGATGCAGGATTTACACTTACTGCTGATCGCTTTATATACCCGAAATTTATCACGTGATTGAAAAATGTGGAATAGTTATTGGCTGTAACAGATTGTGCGATTTTTCAAATAAGTCGTTATATTTGATATTTGTGTCAATATTCTTAACCGTATGATGTTAGCCGGCATATTTCACCTGTAGTATTTTAAATATTTGCAGAAGGAAAATCGAAATCTTGCCTTTACTAAAGATGTAGTCTCACTTGAAACGTCTTCAACTTCCTTCAACGGGATGACATAGAAATTAATCATGGTGAATTCATACGTTGTATAGAGGAAGGTGGAATTGCGTAGTATTAGCATGGCAAAGCAAAACAAACTTGAATAGATTCATTTGTTACTGATTAATGGAACTGTTTTATTATATTTATACCGAATATTGCTAAATTTAGGCCTAACTTCGTTATAAAGGCGCCTCACTATATCAAATGCCTCGTTATATTCGATTATCATATGGCAATCAGATTTTTACATTTGTTTCCAAGATCTTAAGCACTATTGTGTATGTGATTGAATGCGCAAGCACATACACAATCATCCTCATAAAGTATATAAATAAAAGGATGTCTCTTTAATTTTATTCCGAAAACCTCTTACATGATACAACAATCATCACATGTACAAACAGTTTTATTGACTTATTATTATATGTGATTTGGATGAAGTGCATGGATACCACACAATTAACACAGTGACTATATGGAAAACTCGTTCTTAGTTCATTGTTGTTCCTGGTAACAATACACAGGTAAATATAACCTTATTCTGCAAAAATACACATTATAATCATGAAATGCTGATACTTATGTTCAATTTTACTGAGCTCTCCACAATTATTGTTCTCATGTCGCAGAATGTGACCAATGATAATGTTGTACCTCAGTTGGGAACCTGTCTCAGTTCTGGACTGAGACAACTGAGTTCTGGACTGAGTGACTGGGTTCTGAACTGAGACAGGTCCTGAACTCAGACACAACAATTAATCAATACACAAAAATTTAAACAGCACTGACACAATAAATATCATTGAAACAATACATTTTTAAAACAATAAACAAATCTATCAACTTTCATCAATAGCACTCTATAAAAATGCTCTTAATTTCTGAGCAAAATTCTGAACCTATTGTTAATATAATTTATAATGGCCAATACACAACATAAATATTAACCAAGGTTATAAAGTTCAGGAAGTTATTCATTATATATGATAAAAAATTGAATCAGATTCAATCTTTATTTAACAAATGACATTTGAAATATCAAAAACAAAAGGCTGTTGAGCACACATAGAAAAAGATCATTGAAGCAATTCGACGTTGAATTGATAAAGAAAAGAAAATGTAACAATGCAGATGGAGACGAAGAAATAGATTATTCAGACGTGGGTCACAGCTGTGCCACTAAAACTAAATCAAAGCTATAAAAAGTCAGTCAACTTTTCAACCACTAGCAATTTTAGTCCATATAGTCAAAATTGTTTACGTCTGGTTGTTGCAATATGCCCAATATATACCAACAGATGTTTTTACGCAATAATTTCTCAGACAAGTCTAATTTTGAAACAGTGACGTTACTAATTATGTTACTACTTATAGAATTGTTGTAGGTGTCATCAAAATAAAACATCTTAATTTTTTTATTCTAGACGTCATATTAATACCCAAACCGTGAGTATTGTGTTGCTTGTTTTTTATCAATATATTTATAATTCATCCCTTAATGTTCGTTCGATTAAAGATATTATCAAATAAACACCTCAACTTAATCAAAACCAAAATTAAAAGTTGTGTTTATTTTGACCATAATCTAAATCTGCGCGACGGCGTTTCAGTAAAAACTTTTCCTAAACGCACGTTCTTGGAACTGAAAGTGCATTTAGGGTGAGCATAGTAATTTGCGTAATTCCAAAACTTTGTTCATAGCGTACAAATAGTATAAAATTTTCGTAAATTTAAAATAATCCTGGCCTTAATGGTTAAAATATTGAACCATGCTTATATTAGTTTTTTCTCTCTAATATATCATCGAGAATATATTTCCATCAATTAACATACTTTCTACGAAATTTCTTAATATTACGAGCACATAGATAAAGTTTGTATTTTGCGAGTCTGTCAAAGTTGTCTTATTTTTCGGCGGCATAATGAATTATTTTTATTAATGGTAAAATCCTTACTAGCAATTAGTTATAAACAATTTTTATGACAATAACCGCGATGGCATGCTTAAATAGTGGCTAACTGTTACAATCATAAATTATTACAGGATAATAAAATGTTCTGTTCACAGTTGACTATTGATGTCTAAATAAATACATGACCTGATATCGGCAGACCAGAACTGTATTCTCACATCTCGAATAACTTGGCACCAGAAATAGTTTGCTTGTGTATTATAGCCTGGATTCTTTACTCGTTGCATTTGTGACGGGATGTATAATTTATTTATTATCTGGTAATGGAATCTTTGACTCGCATTGGTAACGGACATTGACCGACTATACCATATATAGCAGATTAGTTACGTGCGTGCATCTACGAAGATTATTTTCACCACAAAATCCATTATACATGTGGAATATAGAGAGTGTGTTTAACATTAAATTCTGAAGTTGGGACCATCATATAGCATGCATTTAGGGAAAGTTTACCCGGGTGGGTAAAAACTTTTTATATTTATTTTAGTGTATATTTGTCCATGTTTGAAGTCTTCGATAACTATTTTGTTGTTGATAACGCGTTTATTTAATGTTCAGCTATCCAGTAATAATTAATTTCGCAATCCGAATTCTAATTGTCTAGCATAATTGGCCATCCATATTATGTACTACTGTAACTACACCCACTTGCCAAAAGTATTGGTGATTTATGTCGATCAAATAGTAAAACATATTAAAACTTTTTCTGAACACCTGTACTTTACATATTTACTATGTAAGTTGCAATAATTTTATACAATTTGAAGATAATTGATTCTAGTTTTTCAAGAAAATAATTATAGAACACCAGTTCTATTATCATTTTACAGCTACATAGTCTGCTGAAGTGGCAGTATCCATGGGACATACAGATTCCATAACATTTCATATGTGTAACATAAATACTGCCACTTCAACAGTCTGTATAGCTGTAAACTGATAATAGGACTGGATCTATTATTATTTTCCTGAAAGTAAAATCAATCATCTTCAAAACCGTATAAAAATTATTGCAGTTTGCATAGTAAATATGCAAAGTACAGGTGTTCAGAAAAAAGTATTTTTAATATGTTTTACTATTTGACCGACATAAATCACCAATACTTTGGCAAGTGGTTGTATCTCATATATTCACTTTCTAGTTTAAAAATGACGAACTAAACATATTGTTTCAGCACGAATTACAGATTGTAGTGTATTATTATTATTTACTATCTTGGCTATTTGTAAATCGCAAATTGGTATGTTGCCAATTTATTTCTGGTAATTATCTGCTGTACCCTGTAATTTTTGTTTCTTTAAATCATATGTGATTTTATTATATATTTCAATATTCGTATATCATAACGTTATCTATGGTACATATTTTATCTTGCCAAACTTACGACAAAAACGTCAACATTATCTTAAAATTTATATCTTAGCTTAATTTACGCATAATAAAGTATCAACATTATCTTGAATTCTATATCTCAGCCTATAATCATAATTACTTTTACGATGAAATATGAGCGAATGTGAAACACTAGTGACGAATAAATACGATAAGCGATAAAAAATTTACGAAGTTTTGCTTGTCGAAGAAAAAAACGAAGATGTGTGCGATTTAAATAAGGAAATTGATAAATGGAGTAAGAATTTGCGGTAACCCAAACCGAGTACCCCATATGGTTCAAACAAAAGACTCTCTATTATATCATTGTTTATGGAATGTCTACCCTGCCATCAAAGTAAACGTCCGTCGTAAAATTTGTTTACGCTATACCAAAACCAATTAAATTACAAACATTCCCTGATAAACCATGCTGTCCTTATCAGCAAACCATTAAAACTCTGTTAATATAATGCCTGACCGACCTGCCATCCATCACCAGATTAAATAAATTACAAACCATCCGATGAGTCGCGCTGCATACCATCAAAAACCCAGGTAATATAATTTCTTCCATGGAAACAACTGCCGTAGAATTAGCTACCTGCTATACCAGACCCCATTTAATTAAATTGCAAGCTTTCGCTAATCTCATCCAATCGTATTGCGCTTATTATTATCGGTATACCAAAGTCAGTTACAATTACGTCATTGAGGCAACCGTTGTAAAATTGGCTAGCCACTATACCAGGCGAATTGAATTGTTGTAGCTGTTGCTGATTATCATAATTATTCGGAACTAGTTCATAATAATACACGTACATGCCACAGTCGTCCACTAAGTTAGATCCATTTGGTATCGGACAAACGTAATCAACTGGTTCTCCACCCGAGTGATCGAATACATTAGATAGAGATTGAGAAATTTCGACCAATGGAGATAGATAAATTTCGTCTGAAGAAGGCTGTTCACATACGTCTACAGTTATAGGTTGCTCATCGCTCGGTTGTCCAAAGTTATCCGACTGATCGCTGACCACTCTTTCTTTTTTATCGGCATTATTATTAGTTTGTTTTTTAAATTTATCTGCGTTTACTTGTTTAAATATCAACTTTTTGCTTTTCGTTTTCTTTGGCCCTGGTTTGTAATTGTAGCCAGGATATTCTGCTTTATGCGCTTGCCGAGCCTCTTTCGCAAGAGCGGTAAAATAGTTTATGACTGAAGGTGGTTGACTTTTCCAAGCTTTACCAGCCAGCCTAGAGGCTTCTTGAATAGTGAACGGCTTGTCGGAACACTTACGTAATTTTTTTACAAAATTTGTGCGAAAGAGAATCCAACCGTTAGATGGTCGGGGAGGAGGTTTTGCGTTGTTTCGTCTACGTTTTGGAGCGATAAGGGAGTCGTGGGAAATGCTGAGAGTATAAGGTGGGTTATCTAAGAGAATGCGTTCACTAGGAGTAAGATAATCTGCCATCATTTATAAATTTTCTAAACTCTATGGACTTAAGGGATGCGGTTGACCAAAGGCACCAATATGTTTGATCGACTGAGGAGGGGAGGGAGTTATATATATACTGTTTTTGTTCGGCCGATGTGCTTATGTAAATAACGAGATACTATTTTGGGTTATTTTTGTATGAGGACATGCTGCGTAATAATGAACAAAAGTTATTTTATATGCGTCGGACATCAATAATAAAAGTTAAACGCAGTGTTTTTAATAGATCAAAAGATTTAATTTACTTGAAATGTGACGTTGTTCGCGTAACTTGCAAATTTGAAGTATAATTAACAGGATGGTTTGGCTTATTTGATGTATTCTCTACTTGGCAGTTTGGTTTTATGTTTGTAAATATAATAATCACTAACGCATCTACTGACTTTACATTGTGTGCAAGAAATTTATTGTATATGTGCTTTGACCATTGTCAATATCATTTGACTAATATGATGTCATTACTAATTTGAAGATAATCCAATGTCACACACATTGTGTGGACAATCTTTTCCAAACAGCGTCTTTTTCTAATTCGAATGCAAATGACCAGACCCAATATAGCGAGCAATGAGATATTGTTTGTCTGTTTTCGTATGTTTTTTTTTCTTTAAAAAAAAAACCATGATTGTGAAACGATAATCTTTGTTTCATGTGACACCCAATAGCACGGCGGCACGGAATGTTTATCGACCTAAAATGGGAAAGTTTAAATTTCTTAACAAACGTCCCACTCATTCCACTGTCTATGCGAAACTTTCGTTAGAACAGGTTTTTATTTCTAACAAAATTTTATATAGTTGCGTGCTATTTCTTTAACAGTTTAGTCTTATCGCATTTTTTGTTGCTTTATTACTTTTAATCTTCAATAACTATTCAGAATATAGTGCACAAACATTATACGCTACTGAATTGGGTAAGTTGCACAGATCGCATTACATATATTTTTTTTTCGTCTCATATGCAATACGCAAACGAATATCCGAGCTTATGCAGGGATATTGTCTAAAAATAACTATTGAGACAGGGACCAAATTTAAGGACATATCGTTCAATTAACTTCTACTTTTACACACAATTGTAAATTGGTTCATATTGTTGATGGCTTCAACTTTGAAAGATCAACGCAACAAACCTCTGAGTAGATTTCCATCTAAACGACTGGTTGGGGTGTCATGTAATCCTTTCAATTATCGACTAAGGGGATATTCCTCCATATATGATTATAAATACTTTTATAATAGTTGATCCAATTAAAGTAATTGTGCTATATTCAAGGTTTTGCTGTGTTGAGAAATCCAATTGGAGTAAAATGCCGAATTAGTTTTTTTTGTAACGTCTGTTTCATGGTTTGATGAGAGGGTTACCACACAGATTGTTTAATTAACGACGTTTATAAAGTTTATGTTGTTACAGTGAAGATATTTTGAGCTTTGGTTGTCCGCCAATAACCAGGAAAAAAAACTTATGTTAACTGAGAATGAATAAGCATAAAAACATTGTGTATTAATCAGGTAACATATACTAATTAGTCGGAAACTGATTTTTGTTGTAACATCTCATTGGCCTATTATCGGCGCTGCCCAGCTTTACTGTTTGCATATATGCAATTAAGGCCAAACAATGACTGTATGTCGCATATGAAATAGAGGGCAGGTCTTACAGTATGACGTCGAAATGCGTAGCCCCCTCGAATTGGCGTTCGTTGTTTGTATAGCATACTCAGGAATTTTTACATTGGAGCATTGGGTTTTTCACGTGCATACAAGAAACTGAACTACATTTATGGAAACTTGACCCCCGCATATCAATATGTATGCATGTATTGATATGCGTTGCATCATAGCACTGGAGAAATCATCACCAAGCATAGTTGACAAATTTAATCCATTGTTCCATTGTTCAAACAATTTTTTTAAGTTTTTCATTGGGGCAAAAGACAATAATATGCTGGTCACTTTGTATGCAATGCCGAATATTAATTGTACGGAAGCTGATTAATCATGTAATCGCAACTATTCTCTGACCATTGGCATCTAACATTGTGATGACTTTTGCACAAATGACAAGATGCCAAGTCTTGTTAACAAACAATGACTGACTTTATTTCGGGAAAATGTCGTTGCAAAGCCCGACATCACCATTATCTAAACAGAAAAGGAAATTAGCAATGCGGACTATATTAAATATCTGTGCCACAATTCATTGCTCAATTAATTTATCAAACTCTATGAACAGTCATTCAAAATAAGAGAAACGGGGTTTAATTTATTAATGATTTGGCAAAAAGACAAGCGTTAACACACAAATTTCTATTATAAAAAAAATAATCTTTTTGTTCCTCGATGAAATATTATTTTACACAGACGCCATTATTTTTACAGTTCGACTATCCCATCGAAACCAACAACAATTTCTTCCACTATTATTATCCGATTCGGTTGATGATTATTAAGCATGCCACTCCGTAACCCACTTTCTAGCATCTTGCATCATCTTTTCACTCGAATCATACCCACTCAACTCATTCAATGCCGTCTGCGCTTTTTCATAACACAATTCCCACTCTTCCTTGAAATCTTTCATTACAGTTTCAAGATAAGCCAGCGCAATACAAGTGGACCAAACAGAGTCTTGATCCTTGCCGTGGAACAAATTCTGGTCTTTTCCCCGTGAAAAGAATTCCGAAAATTCTGCGGTTGGCTTGAAAAACCCATCAAAGGATTGAAACCGAATGAATCCATAAAGAGTTTCGATATCTGCTAATTTCGGATCAACCTCAACCGATTCGGTCGCCGTTTCTTTTTCACGTTCGAGGGTGCCTGGACCATCTTCCATATCCATCTCAAACTTAAATGCCATTGAATCGACAAAAGCGTCATCTTTAGAAATATCATTTAGAACAGACGCATTCCTATTACTAGGAAAATGATTATCGCATAGGTCGTTAGCACATTCATCATGCCGATAAAAATCAAACTCTGTATATTTGTAACAGTTGACATTGACAGAGTACCTTAAAGACTGAAAAAAGTCGGGCAAAAATCCAGATGCTGGAATAAACGAATGTTTAACAAATCCTGCCGTGCGAATAAAGCCCCTCTGGAAGAAAAAATTTTGTTAGCAAACACTTGATTGTTAGGGAAAGTAAGCATCCTTTTTATTGTCTTAACCTGCACAGGAACGACGCGTCGTTCAACTTTTGCCATTGAGAGAATTTGATCTCGTTCATCGATTGCTAGGAAGCTTGAAACAGGTAACAGTTATACACATATTTATATTTATGCCGACCGTTTTCCTTTCAAACGCTTTTTTTTTTTTTGGTAGTTCAGATACCTACCTTGTATATCTTGAGGCCAAATTAGCATCGATCGCTAACTTGACAATTTCACTTTTTGTATCTTCATCCGAAACATCTTTCCCCTCATTTTTCGGATCGTTA